ACTCAGGGACACAGAATCGTTACTCAGGGACACAGAATCGTTACTCAGGGACACAGAATTGTTACTCAGGGACACAGAATCGTTACTCAGGGACACAGAATTGTTACTCAGGGACACAGAATCGTTACTCAGGGACACAGAATTGTTACTCAGGGACACAGAATTGTTACTCAGGGACACAGAATCGTTACTCAGGGACACAGAATTGTTACTCAGGGACACAGAATGTTACTCAGGGACACAGAATTGTTACTCAGGGACACAGAATCGTTACTCAGGGACACAGAATCGTTACTCAGGGGACACAGAATTGTTACTCAGGGACACAGAATCGTTACTCAGGGACACAGAATTGTTACTCAGGGACACAGAATCGTTACTCAGGGACACAGAATCGTTACTCAGGGACACAGAATTGTTACTCAGGGACACAGAATTGTTACTCAGGGACACAGAATTGTTACTCTGGGACACAGAATTGTTACTCAGGGACACAGAATTGTTACTCAGGGACACAGAATCGTTACTGAGGGACACAGAATTGTTACTCAGGGACACAGAATTGTTACTCAGGGACACAGAATTGTTACTCAGGGACACAGAATTGTTACTCAGGGACACAGAATCGTTACTCAGGGACACAGAATTGTTACTCAGGGACACAGAATCGTTACTCAGGGACACAGAATCGTTACTCAGGGACACAGAATTGTTACTCAGGGACACAGAATTGTTACTCAGGGACACAGAATTGTTACTGAGGGACAGAATCGTTACTCAGGGACACAGAATCGTTACTCAGGGACACAGAATCGTTACTCAGGGACACAGAATCGTTACTCAGGGACACAGAATTGTTACTCAGGGACACAGAATCGTTACTCAGGGACACAGAATTGTTACTCAGGGACACAGAATTGTTACTCAGGGACACAGAATCGTTACTGAGGGACACAGAATCGTTACTCAGGGACACAGGGACACAGAATTGTTACTCAGGGACACAGAATTGTTACTCAGGGACACAGAATCGTTACTCAGGGACACAGAATTGTTACTCAGGGACACAGAATCGTTACTCAGGGACACAGAATTCGTTACTCAGGGACACAGAATTGTTACTCAGGGACACAGAATCGTTACTCAGGGACACAGAATCGTTACTCAGGGACACAGAATCGTTACTCAGGGACACAGAAATCGTTACTCAGGGACACAGAATTGTTACTCAGGGACACAGAATTGTTACTCAGGGACACAGAATCGTTACTCAGGGACACAGAATCGTTACTCAGGGACACAGAATTGTTACTCAGGGACACAGAATTGTTACTCAGGGACACAGAATTGTTACTGAGGGACACAGAATCGTTACTCAGGGACACAGAATCGTTACTCAGGGACACAGAATCGTTACTCAGGGACACAGAATCGTTACTCAGGGACACAGAATGTGTTACTCAGGGACACAGAATCGTTACTTTCTGCTTCACAACCACTATTGTACGTTCAAAGAGTTAAATCCTGTTTTATGTTTGGGGTGCTTATTGAATTAAAGAGTATGTCAGACAACACGCAGAGGAGTGGCAGAGGAGGCAATGTTTCAGGAGCGAGCAGACGTGGCAGCAGAGGAAGGGGTCGAGGCAGCACTAGTCGCAGCCAGAGGCCAGTGCTCCCGGTGTCATCCAGCGGTCGTGTCTCCACCGACAACCCTGCCGTCATCGATTGGTTGACTCGGTCGTCTTCCTCTTCCCAGGTCACCTCTGACACCTACAGCCAACGGTCGGTGGGTACGTCAGACACAACCGTTAGTTGGCATGGCCCGGGAGCAAGCCCACTGAAATCACGTGTCCTCTACCTGCCCCTGTCCTTTGGTGTTCCCTCACCAAGCGAAGTATCGCATGCTGTGGGCTCAGCCCCACTGTAGTGAGGAAGAGCTAACAGAGGCGGTCAGGAACGGGGGGAGACATCCGCCTCTTCAGCAGCCAGGCGAAGAAGTACTGGCGAGGAGAGTGGCTCGGTAGCCGGTCTAGAGACAGGTCTGTCTCCTGACCCACACGCAGCCGAGGGGGCTAGTAGTGACGCGGAGACCCTAATTGATGATGATGAGGCTGATCGCACTTGGCAGCCTCGTCGTCATCAGGCTATTGCTTCCGCATCATCAGGAGAAGAGGGTGCCAGCTTGCCAGCGAGCAAAACAGTCGGTGGGTTGCCCAGGAGGCAGCAGGGTCGCAGCAGTGTCAGTGGAGGCAAACGGCCACGGAGTAGAGCACCAGCTCCACTGCAGCCTACCACCACGGCCAGTAGTGGTGCCGGTGTGCACGGAGGAAGTAGCAGTCAGCCAGTGAGGAGTAGCGGGGGCAAAGTTTCCTACTCGGCGGTGTGGCAATTTTTCGTCAAGCCGCCCGAGGAAGTAAACGTAGCCGTATGTCGACTATGTGGCCAGAAAGTCAAGCGTGGCCAGGGGGCCCATGTTGGGACTACAGCGTTGCGTCAGCATATGCAGCGTCGCCATTCGGTGGCCTGGGAAAACCGTGATAAAGATACGGCGGTTCTGCCTGCCCCAGCCCCCGCTCCATCACCCGCTCCGTTACTTGCTCCGTCACCCGACGTCAATCGCCCTCTATCAGCCAGTCAAGGCTCCAACACCTCTGCTGAGGGGAGTTGTCGCTCGTTGGCATCTTCCGCTCGTTCAGATGCTCCTTCTCCTGCTACTCCTCTTCACGGATTCCGTCAGCAGTCTTTCTTGGAATCCGTTTCCAAGAGACAACAGTTTGCGAGCACGCACCCGACGGTGCAGAAGCTGAACGTCCTCCTGTCCAAGTTGCTGGTGCTGCAGTCCCTCCCTTTCCAAGTGGTGGACTCAGCACCTTTCCGAGAAATGATGGCTTGTGCCGAGCCGCGGTGGAGAGTGCCAAGCCGGCATTTCTTCGCCAAAAAGGCAGTGCCAGCCCTGCATTCACATGTAGAAGAGATGGTGGGCCAGTCTTTGAGCATGTCGGTCTCTGCCAAAGTGCACGGCAGCGCCGACGTGTGGAGCTGTAACTACGGTCAGGGACAGTACATGTCATTTACGGCCCACTGGGTGAACGTGGTGCCGGCACAGCCGCACCAGCAACTTGGACAGGTCACGCCGCTTTTGCCTCCACGTTTGCACGTCCTTGGTCCAGCAAAGATGTCCGCCTCTACCACCTCTTCTTCCGCCGTGTCCTCAGCCGCCCCCCCGTGCCAAGTCCCATTACCCGACCGGCATATCACATGTGCAGGGCGCAACGGTGTCACGCTGTGCTGCACCTGGTATGCCTTGGCGAACGTAGTCACACAGGGGAGGAACTTCTGAGTGTAATGAACAGAGAAATCGACAGATGGCTGTCTCCGCGCAAACTGAAAATCGGAACCATGTTGACCGACAACGGAAAGAACATGGTGTCTGCTCTGCGTCAAGGAAGGTTGTGCCATGCGCCATGCATGGCTCACGTGTTCAATCTGGTTGTCAAGCGGTTCCTAAAATCCACCATCCCACTGCAAGACATCCTTAAAATGTCACGTAAACTTTGCATGCATTTCAGCCATTCCTACACCGCAAAGCACACCCTCCTTGAGCTGCAGCGGCAGAACGGAATTCCACAGCATCGCCTGATCTGCGACGTTGCAACAAGGTGGAATTCAACCCTACATATGTTAGACCGCCTTTACGAACAGCGAAAGGCCATCACCGATTTCCTGATGTTACAAGCGGATAAAGGTACTCCCCTGTGTAACTTAGATGTCAGCCATTGGCAGCTCATGCGTGACACCTGCCGCTTGCTCAGGCCCTTTGAGGAGGCCACGCTATTCGTGAGTCGGCAGGACTATGGGATGAACGACGTCATTCCTCTGTTGCACGTCCTGGAACAAATGCTGTTAACAATGGCTGGTCAGGGTCGGTAGACGTGGCGCACAGATCTCAACGCCACATGACCCCTGTGGGGGCAGGACAGGAAGAAGAGGAGGAGGTAGAGGAGGACATTGGTGCTCAGGAATTATTGAGTGAAATGGGTGGTTTTTCCACTCAGCGGACAGGAGTGGAGGAGCAGGAGCATCTGGTAGAGGAGGAGGAGGAGACAGAGGACCCAGACGCACCGTGGCAGTATGCTGTGGAGATGGATGGCAGGGAGGAGTCCCTCGCATTCCTTGGCACAAATGGCCCATAGCATGCTCGGTTGCTTGCGTAGCGACAGCCGAATAATAACCATCAGACAGAGGGATGACTTTTGGCTGTCCACCTTGTTGGACCCTCGCTACCGTTCAAAAATGGTGGCCTTTTTCACACCTGCTGAGAGGGAGGCCAAAATAAAGTACTATAAAAACCACCTATGTAGTCAGTTGGTCTCTGCCTTTCTGCGCCAACGTCCATCCTCAGACACTGTGGGCCCTGTCGCTCGCGTTCCGCTGCCATGGCAGCAGGGGAGGGGTGGGGTGGTAGGAGCAGTGGCAGCTCCACCAGCAGCGGCTGCCTCAGTCTGCAGTCGATGATGAGTAGCTTTCTTCACCAGCGCAGTGAGGAAACTACTAACCAGCCGCAGCAGCAGCAGCAGCAGCATCAGGTGGACCTGGAGCAGGACCTCAAACAACAGGCTCGGGCCTACTTGGACAGCACCCTGCCAACCGAGGTAGACAATCCCCTTGACTACTGGGCAACGAAACTTGACCTTTGGCCCCAACTAGCTGAATTTGCCCTTGAAAGGCTGTCATGCCCGGCCAGTAGCGTGGCATCGGAGCGCGTGTTTAGTGCGGCAGGAGGTATTGTAACTCCGCGGAGGACACGACTGTCCACCCAAAGTGTGGAGAGACTCACGTTTGTGAAAATGAATCAGGCGTGGATTAGTCTGGATTTCAAACCACCAGTTCCTGACACAACTGACTAAATCCGCCATATCATGCCCCAAACATGTTATTATTTTTAACATAGGCCTCTGTATGGCCTTCAATTTAAGCTGCTTACGCTTCGCCACTCTGCCATGGGCCCCTGTACCGCCTCCTCTTGCTGCTGCCAGGTCCAGAGTGTGTCATGGGTCCCTGTACGGCCTCCCATTGCTGCTGACTTCATCGCCAGACTCTGCCATGTGCCACTTTCAGGTCTCCTTACACTGTTGGTGGGTTCCATTTTGTGATAGGGTGCTGTATGGCCTTCCATTGCTGCTGCCTCCACCGCCACCCTGCGCCATGTGCCTCTGTCGTCTGCTCACGCTGCTGACGGCTTCCGCTTTTTAACCGAGGCCTGTGTTTGGCTTCCGAATACTGCTGCATCCACCGCCACCCTGCGCCATGTGTCTCTGTCGTCTGCTCACGCTGCTGACGGCTTCCGCTTTTTAACCTAGGCCTGTGTATGGCTTCCGAATACTGCTGCCTCCACCGCCACCCTGCGCCATGTGCCTCTGTCGTCTGCTCACGCTGCTGACGGCTTCCGCTTTTTTTAACCGAGGCCTGTGTTTGGCTTCCGAATACTGCTGCATCCACCGCCCGCCCGCCCACTGCTGCTGCCAGGCCCGTAATCTGTCATGGGCCCCTGTACCGCCTCCTCATGCTGCTGCCAGGTCCAGAGTGTGTCATGGGTCCCTGTACGGCCTCCCATTGCTGCTGTCTCCATCGCCACACTCTGCCATGTGCCACTTTCAGGTCTCCTCACACTGCTGGTGGGTTCCATTTTGTCATAGGGTGCTGTATGGCCTCCCATTGCTGCTGCCTCCACCGCCACCCTGCGCCATGTGTCTCTGTCGTCTGCTCACGCTGCTGACGGCTTCCGCTTTTTAACCGAGGCCTGTGTTTGGCTTCCGAATACTGCTGCATCCACCGCCACCCTGCGCCATGTGCCTCTGTCGTCTGCTCACGCTGCTGATGGCTTCCGCTTTTTAACCTAGTCCTGTGTATGTCTTCCGAATACTGCTGACTCCACCGCCACCCTGCGCCATGTGCCACTTTCAGGTCTCCTTACACTGTTGGTGGGTTCCATTTTGTGATAGGGTGCTGTATGGCCTTCCATTGCTGCTGCCTCCACCGCCACCCTGCGCCATGTGCCTCTGTCGTCTGCTCACGCTGCTGACGGCTTCCGCTTTTTAACCGAGGCCTGTGTTTGGCTTCCGAATACTGCTGCATCCACCGCCACCCTGCGCCATGTGTCTCTGTCGTCTGCTCACGCTGCTGACGGCTTCCGCTTTTTAACCTAGGCCTGTGTATGGCTTCCGAATACTGCTGCCTCCACCGCCACCCTGCGCCATGTGCCTCTGTCGTCTGCTCACGCTGCTGGCGGCTTCCGCTTTTTAACCGAGGCCTGTGTTTGGCTTCCGAATACTGCTGCATCCACCGCACGCCCACTGCTGCTGCCAGGCCCGTAATCTGTCATGGGCCCCTGTACCGCCTCCTCATGCTGCTGCCAGGTCCAGAGTGTGTCATGGGTCCCTGTACGGCCTCCCATTGCTGCTGTCTCCATCGCCACACTCTCTGCCATGTGCCACTTTCAGGTCTCCTCACACTGCTGGTGGGTTCCATTTTGTCATAGGGTGCTGTATGGCCTCCCATTGCTGCTGCCTCCAGTGTCCCACCGCCACACTGTGGCTCCACACTCTGGTTTTGGCCCAGTGACTGCCCAAATGAGTGAAGTGTGCGGTGATTCTAAGATCGATGGCACTCATCTGCATGTCATACTGACTTGCAGTATTAGTTCTCTTCCCCAGCAGACTCCAAGGGCATTTAAATTAAAGGTACAGTGTTCTGCACTAATATAAAGGCTCTCTGAAGCCTAGAAACACCCTTTTTATAAGTTAAATTCGCAGCGAATATATTCGCCTCGAATCGAATTTATTCCGCGAATTCGGCGAATCAGCCGAATCGAATTTTTGAATAATTCGCTCATCTCTAGCGATAAAGATGAGATATGGAAGAAGATTAAAGGAAGAACAAATATTAAGTATGGAGGAAAAAAATCCAAATTTTCGCAGATTTAGCAGCTGAGACATTGAGAAGAAAGAGATCATTGAAACCCCTACTAGAATTGTTGAAAAAGCATAATGTGCAATATAGATGGGGTCGCTCAGCTTGTTTAATCGGATGGAGGGATGGAGTCACAGCATTTCTAAGATATCCTGAAGCTATGAAAGACTTCTGTGATAAATTTGAACTACAGCAAATAGAGATACTGGGATGGTAAGTGGAGGGGGGAGAGTCATGCGCTTTGGGAAAGGAGGAGTGGCAGCTAGTTAGAAGGGGGAAATAGAGAGAATATAGATAGAGAGACACTGGGGAGGAGGGGGGAAGGTGAGCGGTACATGGGTGGAGCAAAAACCCCAAGGTTGGAATCAAAGGGGGGGGGGGCTATTCCCACAAATGATTCATAGGAAAACAAGAGGCCTAATGGGAGGGGGGGGAGGGGATTGGAGGAGGGCTGGGAGTGGGTTGGGATATGGGTGGTGGTGGGGAGGGTGTTGGGGGGGTAGAGGGAGGGGGGGGTAACGGGGGTAACACTCTGCGGGATAAGAGGAGACGGGAGAGGCGTGGAAGAAGAAAGGAGTTAAGAGGAGTAGGGAAATATGGAAGAAGTCCAGTTTGTAACTCTAATGTAAAGGGGTTGTGTAGTCCTGGGAAGAGATTTAGGTTGTTTAAAGAATTGCAACACAGAGCATCTTCGTTGGTTTTCTCTTGCAGGAGACACACTTGGGGACTGAGTCAAATATTAGGCTGAAAACTAGATATTTCCCGGTATGGTATTATGCGGATTCACGAATTAAAAGAGCAAAAGGGGTAGCAGAGGCTTTGCAAAGAATATAAGGTTTGAGTTGGAGGAGAGAATAATGGATCCTGATGGAAGGTTCTTGTTTTGAGGGGTAAATTGCAAGAAATCGAGTGTACAATAGCCAGCATATATTGCCCAAATAAGAAACTGGAAATATTTGAAGGGAGCATTGAAGAAGTTGATGAATTTTAAAAGGGGCTGTCCGATAGTGGCTGGAGACTTTAATGTTTGTATGGACCCACGGTGGGATACCACCTCTTCAATGAAGAAGGAGGAAAGCGGGTCCCTGAGATCATTAAAAGAAATGGATACATGAATGCCAACTGGTGGATATATGGAGAATCAGGCATATGAAAGATAGAGACTATACTTTTTTCTCACACGTACATGAGACTTATTCTAGATTAGATTATATACTGGTAGAACATCGATTTATAGAGTCTGCGATGCAAATAAAAATTGAAGTAAGTTCTTTATTAGATCATGCCCCTGTTGCAATGAAGTCAAGATGAGGCAGAGAGGAGAGAAGTGGCTTAGTTTGGAGGATGAATGAGGCACTCTTCTTGGATCAAGAGATCGATCGCAAGATCAAGATGGAAATGAAACGATTTTTTGAGGAGAATGATACAGAGGACGTGTCGATTGCTATGGTGTGGGAGGCCCATAAGACCTATATAAGAGGATTACTTATTGCAATAGGGGCAAAAAAGAAAAAAGAAAGGAGGGAAAAGATCAAAGGACTTCTAAGTGAAATATTCGATCTAGAACAGGCTCATAAAAGGAAAACATCTAAGGAGATAATGCAGAAAATAATAAAAAAGAAAGAAGAATTAGAGAATGTGATGGAAGAGGAAAAAAGAAGTGTCTTTAATAAAGTAATAAGTGAAAGGTATAGATGGGGAGATAGGCCTGGAAAGTATTTAATGAGAGCCCTAAGGAAAAAGAAAAATAGAAATTATATATAAAAAAATAAGAAACCCCAAGGGTGAACTGGTTCACTCAACTAAAGAAATTGCTAGAGTATTCAAGGAATATAATAGTAAGCTGTATAATATCATACCTCATGATACTTTAAATAAAGCTGAAATAGTAAATAGAGAAAAAAGAAGAACATACCTAAAAAATGCAGGTCTTTTAAAATTGAGTGAAGTACAATTGAACTCCCTAGAATCAGAAATTACGCTAGAGGAAATAAAAACAGCATTAAAAAGTACCCAGACGGGGAAAAGCCAGGGGCCAGATGGGTATACTGTAAAATATTATAAAAAGTATAAAGAGTTGCTAATACCCAAATTGAAGATATACATGAATGCGCTGGGAGGTGAGTTGGAAATAAGGGGAGAATCTCTACAGGCTAATATAGTACTAATTCATAAGGAAGATAAGGATCCCTCTCAGTGTGCAAGTTATAGACCAATTGCACTGTTGAATGTAGATACTAAATTGTACGCAAAGGTTTTGGCAAATAGGTTGAAGGATTTGATGCCGGACTGGATACATGGGGACCAGGTGGGTTTTGTCCTGGGGAGAGAGGGTAGAGACAATGGTATGAGATCATTGTTGCTCATTCAGGAAGGTAAAAAGGGAAGACCCCGGTGGTGCTAATGTCAATTGACGCTGAGAAAGCATTTGATAGAGTGAACTGGGGATTTATGATGGGCACCTTGGAGGCGCTAGGGTTGGGAGATAGAATGAGAAAGTGGATTGGAAAGTTATATAGTGGACCTTCAGCAGCTATCATGGTTAACGGAGGAAGGTCGGAGCTTTTTTTTGGGATGTCAAATGGTACAAGACAGGGATGCCCACTGTCCCCATTGTTATATGTCCTGGCGTTGGAACCATTACTATTTACAATAAGGAAGAACATAGATATAAAGGGAATATGGGTAGGAAATAGAGAACATAAGGTGGCTGCCTATGCAGATGATTTGTTGTTCTATGTTGGAAATCCTAGGATATCACTTCCAAATCTAATGAGGACACTGAAAGAATATAGGGAATTATCAAACTTAAAAATTAACCCGACAAAAACTGAAATTTTAAATATAAATCTTAAAAACAGTGAAAAAGAAAAGAATCTCCCCTTTGTTTGGAGAGAAAAAGAATTAAAGTATCTAGGGGTAAAAATGTCCGCCTCAATTTAAAAACATGTATAAATCCAATTATATTTCATTGTTAAATGAGATTAAAGAAGAATTAAAGAGATTGGGAAGTGGAAATCCGTCTTGGATAGGTCGCATAAATCTGATAAAAATGGTAATTGTGCCTTAAATTTTATATAAAATTATAAAATGATAACGAGATATATATGGAGGAACAAAAAACCTAGAATATGTTATGAGGTGCTGACTAGAAATAAAGAGAGAGGTGGTTTAGGTTTACCAGATTTTAAGAGATACTATAAAGCTGTATTAATTGGGAGAATTTTTGACTGGACTCACAATCCAGGGAAAAGTTGGGTTAAAAACACACTGAGTGGAACAAATTTAAGTAGGATCATATGGGTGCCTGCACAATATAGGGGATTAGATGTTAATACAAGTCTGTACACTATAAACGTTTTAAGAGTATGGGAAATATTACACAGACAAGAGGGTTGGGTTTTTAATTCACAGTTAATGTCACTAAGGAATACAGAATATTTTGCCCCAGGGAGAGAAGATATCACAGGGAAATGGATTATAAAGCAGGATGCGCAATTGAGAGACATAATGGTGGGGGAGGAATTGGGATCATATAGTGAGTTGGTAAAGAAAAACGAGAAGTTTTCAAAAGATTGGATAAGATACGATATCACCAACTGAAGCATTTTGTTGGGAGCCTCCTGAAGCCTTTGAGAGCTAGAAAGGATTGGAACCCATTTGAAAGGTTGTTGGAAGCACAGGGTGTCGGGAAACATGGAGTCGCTAAAATATATAAGATTTGCACCGAGTTAGACACTAGCACAAAACCAATATATATAGAGAAATGGGGAAAGGAAATAGATGAGGAGATGCAGAGTAAAATATATAGATTAATTCACGAAAATATTAGTATGAGAGAGGTGGAATTAAATTATAAGTGTTTCGTAAGATGGCACATCACACCGAACGTGGAGCACAAAATGAATGGGGAGATTTCACCAATGTGTTGGAGGGATTGTGGAGAGATAGGCACCTTGTATCATATATGGTGGGAATGTTCAAAAATATAAATATTTTGGCAGAAAATAACTCATTTAGTAAAGAAAATCACTGAAATTAACATTAGATTAGACCCAGAGTTATGTCTTTTCCATAACACACAGAACTTCCAGTGAAATTATATAAGGATTTGGGCATATGGCATTTTTTGAGTGCAGCGAAGAGCTTGATGCCTAGGTTTTGGAAAAAAAGGGAAGCACTGACAGAGGAGGATTGGATGATTAGAGTGAATCAGATTAGTGGGATGGAGAGAGACTTTATTATATGCATATGGATAAAATGGAGTTATATTATATAAAATGGAAAAAATGGGAAGAATATAGAGAGAAGGTGAAATAAATGAAGATGTAACACCCCTGTAGATGGATTCCAGATATATATCTTGAATGTCTTATATAGTGGAGAAGAGGTAAAACGCAGAGTGGGGGGGGGGGGGGGGGGGGGGGGGGAGGGGAGGGAGGATGGGACGCGGGGGTAATAAAGATTGTTTTTATCAGGTAGATAATTATGGTGTTAGGAAGATACTGTTTTGATGTCTTTTTAATTGGAGAAAAGGATCGCAATTTGTATTTGATTGAAAATTAATAAATATTTATAAAAAAAAAATAAAAAATAAAGGAGAAATACAGCCAAAGCTTGTTTGGCTGTACTTCTGTGGATCACAGGAGTAGAATTCATTAGGTACTCCTGAAACCCGTTTAGACTGGTCTAGACTGGGGAAAGATATGTTTGGGATCCACCCAGGGCCTGGACCAGCACCTTGCTCAGCCTCTCAGTGATATGATTAGAGCCTGAGTCAGCTGCTCCTGCCTCC